GTGTGTGTGTGTGTAAATGTATACACACACACGTACAGTAAAGGACACACATTAGAGAACACATTTCCATATATATTAATGTATGTGATTTTATCTATAATCTGTACATGATATATGTGAAGCGTATACTTTTGTATAGTGATGAATTCATGATGATCTATCAACTTAATTACACTCCTATCTGTGCTCGTGCCTTCTCGTTTGATTTCCAGTTCATCGTGGGAGACCATCTTCAGTAAGAGCAGCGAGGTGGTGTCACCCCAGGAGCTGCAGTGCTGCCGCCGGCTGGTCCAGCTGTGCCGAGATTGCCTGTTGGTCGTCTACAAGTTTGTCTCAGAGTCCCGCGGCTCTTTGACCGGGCTCAGCCCTGAATGGGACGACACCAGGTGAGAAGAACACCCAACCCTTTGATGTCTTCCCACTGAGCTCTTGCATTCCTGCTGCAATAGATAGTTCGTTTTACAGTAGGGTGGCTGGATAAGATTCAAGGATAAGACAAGACTCTGCTGGTAGGTCCCAGATTAAAGCTGTACTCCTCATTATGGAAGGTGTTGAACTCTTATACATACTCTCACATATCACGGGCAGGAAAATAACCCCACAGGAATACTGAACCTGTGTTAAGATTAACAGGAGACATCCTTTGTGTTGGGAATATTTATTTTGGTGTCTTTCTCTTTTAGGTCCAGATGAGTTTGAAGCTGAGTTTGTCGAACTTGTATGATCCACAACGAAGCCTAGTAATAAACTTTGTTAAAACTCCCTTTAGAGAAAAGGGACCTAAATAGGGTAAAATAGAATAAAGAGTAAACACACTTTGACGTGCAGACAAGAAAACTTTGATTTGAAAATTTCAACAGCTATCATCATTAAACCTCTCCAAGGAAACATTTCCTCTCTCTCCTCCACGGAGCCTTAGAGCCATCATCTTCATCACACAGCCCCAATAAAACAAACAAACAAGAAAAAAAAAAAAAGAAACAGCCTCCTTCTATTTTTAAGGTTGATCCCCGCAGGAGACAGCAGCTCAGGTTTGGAGTGAGCGAACTTTTAAAAAGCACATATGCTTTGGGCTGGCAGACAGGGAGGGAGGGAGAGGGG